TTCATCTTGACTCATTATTTTATGTCGAGAGGCGCTCCACATATATGAATAATTAATTAATTCCTTGTCTTGAGTGATTTTATAATCCGTTCCAAAGATACATTAGATTTTTCAGCATTATAGAATGTTTGATTCGATTTCCCCACATATATGAATGATTCCCTAGCACATAAAATCGGATACTAATCATCATCTTCTCTAAGAAAAACCCTAGTCCTATGAGATATTGTCTTGTTATTTGGCTCTCTTCTCACTTAAGTGTCGGAAAGCATTCAGAGTGCCAACTCCAACCACCCTTTGGTTTATCTTTTTCGTTTTGTTGGCATTCTCAATTCTCAGTACGCCTGGAGTTGAAGACCTTTTATCCTCAGAAGACAGAAACAATATTTACAGCCACAATGAAAGCAATATGATCGAAAAGATGTCCGCAATGAATTCTAATATGCAAAGAATTGATGTTGATAAACTGTTTATTCATTTGATCGTGATTTATTTTCCAAGTACATTCTGATAATCCATCAATTAAATTGAAAAGAAAACAAATACAAAAACACTTTCTATTTCTTTTAAAAATGTTGAGATTTTTTACCTGCTTTGTCTCATAAACTGTACCAAAGACCGGACGCTTAACTGTTCACTAACTGGTTCGGTTTTTAAATCATTGGCTTTTAACTAGCATTAGATGACAGCTTTAGAATAAAACAGATCACCAGAAAGGTATCAACATCAATTTCAACATCTGTGACTGATCTTTGTGTAAAGCCAGCAAGCCTTTTTCGCTATTACAAGGGAAATGCAAAAACCTTAGAAATAATTGCATTATGCATAATTATGTTTATAAAGTCGCAAATCGATCCCTTTTTACTTTCCAAACATTACAAAGTAGATAAAAAAAGAGAGGTAGCAGAACCTTTTTTGGGACTGCTCTTAAACTTTTACAAGCATGCTTCTAAAATTTCCTCTCTATCGGTTTAGTATGCTTTGATATTGAAGAAGAATTCTTTCCGCAAAACCCGCTCGGCTTCATTACGGAGGAACCACTGTGTTTCAAGAAGCCAATGTAATGAGTTTTCGGCTCTAACTAATGGATGGCTGTATGTAAAATTGAATAATATACAGGGTCAAGGATATTATCTATGATAACTCTGCACTGTTTTTTTCTTAATGGCTGCCAGATTTTTCACTTCCTGACTGTTTAAAGATAGAATGAGAAGAAAAGAACAATTAATTTCCTAGAATATTCACCTTAACTATGTGGAATCTTGATGCCGATTATTGTCGGTTTACAGTTCTCATAAAAGAAAAAAATTAATACCTCTTCATAAAATCTATCTTCGTTTTCTTCATTATGTTGCTGTTATTGGAGAAACTGCAGTCAGGTCCGCTCCCTAGAGTAGATATTAAGATTTTTAAAAATAGAACCAACAATTCGCAAAATACAGTGTTTATTAACAGTTACAAAGTTCAAAATTGCATATATTACAATAAGAAACTTGTCACACGCCAAATTAGAGCTTAAAATTTTCTTAAAATTTATTTTGAGGACTAAATTGAAATTTTAACTAAATTTGAGGACCAAAATAAAATTTTGATTAAATTTAAATCTAAATTCATAAAGTATCAAAAACTTGAGGATGTATTGCATAATTTTACCATTTTTCTTTTAAGAATTATATAACCTCAAATCTTGAAAGTTTTCTCATTTGAAAACCTCATTTTCTCTCTCTTCAAGTTTTTCTCTTTTAGTAGGAAATCTTTAATCGACGTTTCGTCGCCGACCGTTGTTCCGTTTTCGACACCTCCCGCACCATCGTTTATCCTACGTCATCCCAAGTACACCGATATTCATCTTGTCTCTATTGCCACAGACATGTAAGGGGGTAAGGAATATAAAGTTTCCGACATTGCGTAATCAAGCTCTCCGCTGTTCATCGTTGTGAACCGAGCTTGATAAGTGTCTCAAAACCCCTTAAAATGCATATATGAATTTTTTTCGTGATTTTTTCGACCCTCGAAGGCCCCACACGTGCCCCCACGTGTCATGGTTGTGCGTGGGGAAGGTCTGTCGCCTAATGGGCTTCTAGAAACGGGTCGACCAGATTCGACTTGCATGCCTGACCCGACCTGCATGTCCGACCCGACCTGCATGTCCGACCCAATCGAACCCGAACCAGTCAGTTGTTGACCGTTGACCGTCGTTCACGTTTTCCGAAAACATCAATCTTAACGCTTTCCGATGTCCTGAGGCTGATTTTGAAATCTGTTTTACCAAATTCTAACCCGAAAGCCCCGAATCGAGCCCGTTAACCCGAAAATGATTAGTATTTTTAGCATTTTTACTTATTTATTCGAGATTTGAATATGAAATTAATTCAGGAATATATTTTTATGAAGATGCTCGTGTTTACCCCGACCGAGGTTCAGTTAGATCCATTGCTTCCCGTCTATCAGATCTGTACAATCCACGTTCTTCGAGAATTACTCGTAGGTTTCTATAAATTGTTTAAATAGAAGTTATTATTATTCATATTAGGATTTTGATATAGATTTTCTGATTCGTAGGATCTAGCGATGCCGCTGATCGTGATCGACATACCCAGTAGTAGGATTTCTTATTAGACTACTCATATCGGTTCAGGTGTATTTCATGATAGTGTTATATTATTGTTTTAAACTATTTATCTGAACTATTTTAGGTTTATGATGATATTGTATATTTTTACGACACGATACATGATTTTCTGAATATTATTTATCTGATATTTGATTTATTGTATATTTCTGATATGATCTCTGATTACTGTATTTCTGTATCTAATTTTTTAGTATGAAATATTTTCATGTTTTAATTGATTAAACTACCGTTTTCACTCAAATACATACATGTTTATTATTGTCATTGGGGGTATTGTTGGAGGAAGTATATCAGACCTAGTCTATGACTTGTGAGACTTTACCACACGCTCCTTTGCTTTGTGCACAGGGTAAGTCCTTACAGCAGGTCCTTATGTTATAAGTATAAGGACCTTACTGGGTGTACATATGGGTGTATGGTTTTGGGGAACCTACACATTTTAGTGATCGGATGGGGGTAGTGTTCATATTTTTAAAACATGTTTAATAAACTGACTTTTACTGAAGTATTTTATCTTTATGTTTTTATACACCGTAAGGAGCACACTAGGCTTTTTTGCTTATTTTGTAAATTTTAACCTTTTCAGATAGTAGCAGACCGTAGGCTAGCAGACTTGGCATCCGGATGACGAACTACTTCTATTTTTGTATTTATATCTGTATATGCCTTTTTATTATACTTTGGTTATACATGTTTTTATTACCGTCTCACTACAACAAATTTATCAATTTATGACAAAATTTCTATATGACGTTACGCATATCGTCACAAAACATACTATAATGTGACATTTTTTATTTTCGTCATATTTATTGATTAATGATATATCTTTTATGACAATTTTAAAAATGGTAATTGATTTTTGTCACTATATGTTTGGCGCCAAAATCTTTCCACCAAATTTTTTGGTGGGAAACCTTTTAATGACATTTAGATAAAATAACGACGTTGTAAAATCGTCTTCAATGAAAAACAGGTATTAGTGACGATTTATTATAATGACGATTTAATTTGAATTAGTGGTGTTGCACATTTATCATTAATAAGTTTTATTTGTGACAATTTAATTTGTCATGTTTTATAAGACACTAAAAGTGACATTTTATTATTGTCACAAAAAAAAATTTAGCATGACGAAATCATTTATTTGTCACTTGTTTTTATCTATTATTTTTATATGACGATTTTAAAAGACGTCATGAAAATATGTCACTTAATGTTAAAAAATAAGATAATCTAACAACCTTATTAAATAATACAATGTATAGAGTTTTTTTTGGTGTTTTTTATTTTATTTACATTATTCTATATTAGATTATCTCACATTCAAAGGTTTTTTTAGAGTAAAACATAAAATAATAAATCGCAAAAAAGAAATGACCATAAGATTTTTATATATTATTATACTTCTATGTTTTCCATGATGTTACATCAAAGTGTTTAGAAAAAAAATAGATATTTATATTTGATCATAGAAATACCCATAAAATTTTAGTATATTTAGATACATATAACATCAATAATTTTAAAATATAAAATATCACTCTTTTATATATAAAAATGCTAATATTATAAAACATGTATGTGTTTTGAATTTTTTTTAGGATTATTATTGTTCCTCCTAACACATTTTAATTTAATCAAACTTTGCATTGGAGTAATTATTTATTATGAAATTGTTAAAAATAGTATTTACTTTAATTATTTTATAATTTTATAATTTCTAAAGAGAAATCTTTTTACTATTTTAAATTATTACTATTTTAATAAGTAATCTTTAAATAATATCAAAACCATAAATAAAAAATATATTTTAATAATAAAAGATTTTAAATGTAAAAGAAAGGAAAACATAATAAAAAAGGCACTAATGACTAAAATAAAATTTCACGAAAACTAAGGGGCTAGATTCACAAATTTAAAAAAGAAAAAGTCTTGAAACGAGGACCAAAATGTGTTACTTTAAACATGGACAAGACCATTACAATGATTAACCCAAATAAAGAAAAATTGGTTGATTCTATCCCTAAACGGCAATATGTGAAGTATTTTAATAAAATTTAATTAGGTTTAATATAAACCTACACTTCATTTTTAATAACCCTCTGCCGCCGTTCACTCTCTTCACAACCCACTTCCCCATTTTCTTTCTTTTAAGTCTCCCTTCTTGGAGCTGCTTTTCACTACCAAGTGCTTGCAGTTCCGTGGGAGTTTAATCCTCAAGCTTGACAGTGCAGTTGGGTTTTAACTCAAATGAAACTAGTAATTTCCCTGGAGCTTTTGTTTCTTCTCCTAAAAGAATGAGAATTAAGAAGTTCTCAGTAGCTTGCTCTTCTTCTACTACTGATCCATTGTTGGTTAATTGCTGCAAGAGGAGATCCTGTAAGTGAGCCTCTTGCATGGATGATGCGCCAGGCAGGAAGGTATATGACTGTTTACAGAAAGCTTGCAGAGAAACATCCGTCCTTCAGAGAGAGGTCTGAGACAACTGATCTTATTGTGGAAATTTCTTTGCAGCCTTGGGAAGCTTTCCGTCCTGATGGAGTTATAATTTTCTCTGATATTCTTACTCCACTGCCTGCATTCGGTGTCCCGTTTAACATTGAAGAAGTAAGGGGTCATGTCATTCATTCACCGATGCACTTTGAGGATTGCTTGAAGGCATTGCATCCTATTGACTTGGAGAAACTACATTTTGTTGGGGAGTCCCTTAAGATTTTGCGCCAGGAGGTTGGAGATCATGCAGCAGTGCTGGGTTTTGTCGGAGCACCTTGGACAATTGCAACATATATAGTAGAGGGAGGTACAACCCGCACTTACACAAACATAAAGAGTATGTGCCACACAGTACCAAATTAATATTTAATATTTAATAATTATAAAAATAAAAATAATAACAATAAAAATCCCGGACAAAACGGGTGTCTACACTATATTCTATATTGAGATAATTTTGCTTTATAGTTTTATTATTTTTATAATTATTTTTTGTTTTGATTCAGATTCCAGTAGTACAAAGGTTTCTCCAACTTTAATTTGCAGGTAATTGTTTGTTTTCTTTTAAATTTATTTTCTTCGTTGTTAAATATGGTTTTTTTTGATATTGTTGAATTCATATGGTTTAGGGTTAGTTTTTATTATTCGATTTCTGATTTTTTTGTTAAACACTGCTGTTTTTTACAAAATAATTGTTAGTTTTTCCCTTTTAAATTTTGCTAAACGTTGTTGTTTTTATTATTCGATATTGTGCAGACTGATTGGAAAACTCATTCAAAAACCTGTGCATGTCTTGTTTCCTTTCACATTGATAATTCTTCATTTAATAAATAAATGTTTATGATGTAAAATTTTACCTTCACAAGGTATGCTCAAACTCTGCTATATATTTATGTTTCCCTTAAGTGCATGTGTTTGTGAATTTTGAATTTATATCATTCTTTTTTTTATGTTAATTATATACATTTCCATTTAAACTGATTGAAAATATTGTTATTAGCATCATTTTAGTGTAAGTTTGCAAAATTCTGTAATTTAGCATAATTATTAATGTAGTTGAATTTCAAATGAATCATTCTCTCAGTGTAACCGAACTGTTGTGTTTATGAATTAAGTTGTAGAATGCTCTGCCAGTGGAGAGCAGATGTGCTATAATAATTGATGATTTTGGTTGTGGTTTAATGCGTCTTTGCATTTCCCTCTAATATCTAAGAGCAATCGATTGCAAAAGTTGGTGAAAGTATTTATAATAGTTTTTCTATATGTTTTAGGATGACACTAGGCAAAGTATCTCGTAAAAGGATTGGAACACAAGAAAATAAAACTCAAAAAGTCTCCGGTAAACTAAATCGAACCCAAGAATCTGAACCTCAACAAGTTACTGATGCTCCAAATCAAACACATGAAGAAATTGATCCAGATACAACAATTGAAAATTCAAGTGCCATAACTTCAATTTTCAGGTAAACAATATAGTTAATCAAATAAAAATTATTATATAATATTAATTGTAGTAACTAATATTGATTATCTTAATTTGTAGCTTCAAATGATACCACAAACTCAACATCAACAGAACCACAATCGACTCAAGGTTTGGATTGAGATTGTTACAACAAAAATATTCTACAAGTCATATTATTATCATATTATTTTTATTTTCTGTAAACATTTAAATATATTTTTATATTTATAGAAATGAAATTATTTTGTATTTAGTGAAATATTTGTTTAAATCTTATTATTTTGCAATAAGTGAACTATTTTATTTTTTATTTAGATTTGTATAAATAATTTTATTTTAATATATATTGTCATTAAAAATGTCATAGAATATAAATTATTTGTGTTTTGCTACAATATCTCTTTCGTCATATATAAGTTGATTTTAATGCATTATTTGTGACAATATAAATTATCAATAACGAAATCTTATTTAATTTAGTGATGTAACCAACTGTCATAGAATATAAATTATAAAGTGACGTTATGCATAAATGTCATTCATAATATTATTACGTAACATTTATATTATGTCACTAAAAATGTGACAATATCTCTTTCATCACATATAGGTTGATTTTAATGTATTATTCGTGACGATATAAATCATTAATAACGAAATTTTACATAATTTAGTGACATAATTAGTTGTCATTGAATATTAATTATATAGTGACGTTATAAATAATTGTCATCCATGCTACTATTAGGTGACGATATACTACATTACTAACAATGTGACAATTTTATTTTCGTCACGTATACAATGAAATTATTGTGGTATTGGTAACGATATGATTTATTAATGACGAAAATGTACATCATTTGGTGACAAAAGTTATTGTCACTGAATGCAAATTAAATTGTGACGTTATCCATTAGTGTCACTATATATTTAACAATACATGACGATAACACATACATCGTCACTTTTGACATTTAGTGACACACCTAGGGTGATGATCGTCGTGACATTGACTTTTACGTCAAAAAAATACATCTAGTGACATAAATTGAAGTTTTAGTGACAATATCCTAGATGCCACTAATAAGAAATTTTGTTGTAGTGTCTCGATATATATGTATTACCGGTATTTTGTTATGTATATGTTTTATACAGTTTTTTGATATGTGTGTGTGTATATATATATATATATATATATATATATGTATGTATGTATGTATGCTTATCGTATAAATCTTTCTTATGGCTAATTTCATATTATACTATTGTATGAATTTTAACATTGTTTTAAATATGAAAAAAAATTCTGAATATGATATGTAACAACCTAGATTTGATAATATCATCCACACCGGGTATAGGGATTACACTTGGTGGTATCAAAGCCTTTGGTTTTAAACACTCGGACTGTGGATGAGTCCTAAAATCTGGATTTTCAAGATATTTTTTATATTTTCAAAAACCGTGTCACCTTATTTTATGAGTTTTAAATATATTCAAGATTCTTGATACTAGTCTAACTTAGGTTCAAATTCTTTTTGTAGAGCCTTGCAGATTTATCTGATGAGTGATGCTAGAGGTCGTAGGTCAGGTTGCGGTCGAGGGTTAGCTACTCGACCTTCTGTGGTGATAGACGATCCGATGTCACCTCGAGATCCTCCTATTTTGCATGTAGATCCGTATATTTCAAGATATGATCCAATTACACTTGCGAGAGACCCTCCCGTCATTGAGAACGAGGACATTGATATGGATGAGGATGCCATTAATAAAGTTGTCTTTCGTGTGTGTTTAGGAGAGCTGTTAGAGTCCCTGGTAATATGTCTGCTGTTGAGATTTCGAAGTCTTTGGTAACTGATGGAGTAGTTTCGTTCGAGGGCATTACTAGTGGACCTCCAACTGACGTTGAGTATTGGTTAGAGGATATAGAGAGGATTATGGATAAGATGGATATGAGGCTTAAGCAGAAGTTAAAGGGAGCCCTAGCTATGCTGAAGAAAGAGAGTTTTAGATGGTGGCAATCGATTTTCGGTAGTATTATGGGGAATCAGTTGACTTGGGATCTTTTCAAGGAACGTTTTCAAAGTTTCTACATCAGAGAGAGATTCCTGCAGGAGCAACGCCAGAAATTTCAGAATTTAGAGAAGGGTGATATGTCTGTTATGGATTATGAGATTGAGTAGTTATACTATTGGACTTGTTAACACTGAGTTAGAACGATGCTTGAGATTCGAGAATGGACTTAGGTATGAGATTAGGAGTCGAGTTGCTACCCACCAGGAGGAACTTTGATGCCTTGGTTGAGATAGTCACTATCGCAGAGGAGATAAAGCGAGTAGTTATGGAGCGTATGAGAGATAGAGACCGAGACCGATTCAGGAGGCCTTCTGGTTCTACTGACTCTTCTACATGCCACAGCAAAATAGACATGGGTAAGTCTTTTTAGAGAGGCGGTGTGAGTTCCTGGCCTGTGGTGTCAGGTTCGTCAGCTGTTATGCCTTCTAGTCATTGTGGTTCTTCTGGGTTGCAGCATTTGCCATCATGTGAGCATTATTGGAGACGTCATTTTAGTGAATGCAAGAAGAAGTTGGGTACCTTTTTTAGATGTGGTTCCAGTTACTATCTCCTAAGGGATTGTCCAAAGTCAGCTCCTATAGTTTAGACACAAGCTCGTACTCCTGCTGGTACTCAAGAGTATAGTTCAGACTCTAGTAGGGGGTCGTAGTCAGGAGAGAGCACCGAGATCAGCTAGTAGAGATCGAGTTTCCCATAGTAGGGGTCCAGCCAGATCTGAGCTCAAAAAACCTCAGTTGGTTTAAGCTGCTAGACGTCGACAGACCCGTGATGAGCCTGATATGATTGCAGGTACTGTTACTATTCATTCAGTTCCCTTCTTTGTATTGTTTGATAATGGTTCTACCCATTCCTATGTGTCACATTCCATTTCTAGGAGCCTTAATATTTCAGTTGAGAATACTGAGAGTTCGGTGACAGTTTAGAGTCTCGTAGGTCAGTCCATAGAGTTAGATCGTATTTATAGAGGGTGTCCTATAGAGATCCATGGGGAGATCTTTTTGGCCGACCTGATGGAGTTACCTTTGGAGGAGTTTAACTTGATTCTTAGCATGGATTGGTTGAGAAAACATCGAGTTAATCTCGATTGTCAGACCAAGAGAGTTGTTCTGAAGACTCCATATAACTAAAAGATTATAATGATTGGGGAACGTCGTGGATTCCTGAAGCATGTTGTGTCTACTTTGGTAGCTGAGAGGATGATCAAGAAGGGTTCCGAGGTATTTCTTGCTTATATTCTGGATACTAGGAGTTCTCGATCTGACATTGAAGGCATCGGGACCGTTAAATAATTTCTCGATGCTTTCTCTGAAGAATTGTCGTGATTTCCACCGGATAGAGAAGTTGAGTTTGAGATTGAAGTATATTCCGATTCTACCTCGGTTTCAATGGATCCTTACCATATGGCCCCAAAGGAGCTTAAGGAACTGAAAGTCCAACTCCAAGAGTTGTTGGATATGGGATTCATTCGACCCAGTGTTTCATTGTGGGGAGCCCTAGTTCTCTTTGCCAAGAAGAAATATGGGACATTGAGACTCTGCATTGATTACAGGAAACTGAACAAGCTCACGGTTAAAAAAAATATCCTCTGCCTAGGATCGATGATTTGTTTGACCAGTTTCGAGGTGTCTGACTTGTCAGCAGCTTAAGGTAGAGCACCAATATCCGTCTGGACTGTTGCAGACTATTAAGATTCTTGAGTGGAAGTGAGAGAGTATTATGATGATTTCGTCACCAATCTTCCTCTGATTCTTTCCAAATATGATTTTATTTGGGTGATTGTGGATAGAATCACCAAGTCAGCTCACTTTTGTCCCTGTTT